GCTAGGCTCAATTAAATTAATTTCATGTAATTAAGTCTGATTTGCCAAAAATCTGATTACCCCGGAATCAATCCCTGTTCCCTACTGTCATTAATTAGAAAGAACCCATTAGTTTAATTTCTTTTATTTTAATCGTTCATTTGCATTAGTTAATTTTCCCAATCAATCAAATCTCGCACGACGCATTTATTTTATTTATTTTTTAATCGCTGAATTTATTTAATTCTTAATTCCCTTTTGTCTGTCCCTGTGGAGACGATACTCGTACTTACACCACTATTCTACAATCTATTTTAAGTGCGAGAAAACTCACATCACCCCTGGAGAATACGCGCCACAAAGAACAAAGGCAACCTTGACACCTTCACAATTGACTTCAGATTTCATCTGTAAAGATGTGATTAACATTGTTCGCACTGATCCTTCCCTTAAAGTGCATACTATCATTGAGATGCTGAAGGAAAAGTATGGGTATACAGTATCATACCGGAGAACATGGATGGGGAAGCAAAAGGCCATAGCAGAAATATTTGGCGGTTGGGAGAAGTCACATTCTGAATTGCCCCGTTTCATGACAGCGCTCCAACATTCAAATCCTGGAACTATTGTGCAGTGGTACCCACCCCCTGATACTCCCACAGGTTATATGCAGTTTCAAAGAGTTTTTTGGGCATTCAAGCCATCAATACATGGTTTTAAGCATTGTCGACCCGTACTTACTATTGATTGCACACACATGTATGGAAAGTACAAGGGTACAATGCTCGTGGCCATGGGTTTTGATGCGAACAACCAAATATTTCCAGTGGCCTTTGCAGTTGTTGAATCTGAGAATGGGGATAGTTGGCCATGGTTTATGGCATGTATTAGGCAGTTTGTCACTAATCGGGAGTTGTGTGTCATTTCTGATCGGCATGGAGGTATTGTCAGGGCAATGAATGAGGTGGGCAGTACATGGGAGGAGCCTTATGCGCATCATAGGCTATGTATCCGCCATCTTGCATCGAATGTGCACACTCATTTCAAAGACATTCATCCAAAAAATCTTTTTGTCTGGACCGCACGGCAACATCAGAAAAAGAAGTTTGATGGTGGGTTCAAGAAGATAGGTGAAATGAGTTTTGAGGCACGACAATTTCTGGGGAACATTCCCCCGGAAATGTGGTCATTGCACCATGATGGCGGGTATAGATACGGTACCATCACTTCTAATCTGGCAGAGGTTTTCAATAGCGTGATGAAAAATGCTAGATATTTGCCCATCACCGCTTTGGTCCAGGTTTCCTTTTACCGGGTTAATGCTTATTTTGTTAATAGGCGTGAAACCAGTAAAATGAGAGTGACAGAAGGCCACGAGTACTCCCCATACATCACAGATTTAATTGATAAGAATAGAGAGAAGACCAAGCATCACATAGTTACTCCATTTGATTTAGGCCGAGGGTTATTTCAAGTGGAAACCGGTTGTGGTGGCCGAACGTTGAGGAAGGGTGGGAGAAAACAAATTGTCCATCTGAAACGGAAAACTTGCACTTGTAAAAAGATGGAGATATATAAGATTCCATGCTCCCATGTGTTAGCCGTGTGCAGACAACGTAACTTGTCTTATGCTCCATTTGTGGATAAGTTTTTCTCATCTGACCAATACGCGGCCACATATCATAGAGTCTTCAAACCCATTCCTGATCGTGATTATTGGCCTACTTACAATGGACCTGAAATCGTGCACGATTCATCCATGCTTCGGGCTAAGGGAAGACCTAAGTCCACACGTATTAAGAATGAGATGGATGAAGGTCCCCGAGGAACGGTTATATGTGGAAAATGCCACCAAACCGGCCATAATAGGGCCACATGTGCGAAGAGATCATCAAGACACGATGGGGGGGTCCAGTGGGTAAGGTGTTAATTATAGTAATTCACATTAATAAAATTGATGATTAAAAAAAAAGAATTAGTATAATAGTAAAAATTAACTAATACGATTTTGTTTGTTTGTAAGCATGCAAGTGACAGCGGATCCTAGGTCGAGTGATCAAGATGATCATGACAACTTCTACTTTGTCTTTTGTATTGCAGTTTTTCTTGTACAACATTTTAGATAATTTACAACATTTTAGATGTTGTAGGAACAATTTACAAAATGTTACGTATTTTCTCTTGAATGTTGTATTTATGTGTTCGAGTATGAATATTAGATGATTAATTGTTATTAATGTTTGATGATTGTACTGTGTTTTACCGGTGAGTTGTATGTGTTTATGTATGTGTTTGTGAACATGTGTGTTGTATGTTTTATAATGTGTTGCATCTCGCTCGTAACACTTAAACAGGAGAAGGGAGACCTTATTTATAGCAAAAAGATGAGTCTGGGTTGAAATGGGGCAAAAACACTGATGAAATTCTGTTTTCAGAATTAGGCACGATCGTGCCTACCCGTCCGGGCACGATCGTGCGTGGCTAGCAGTAGTTGTTGTTCTGCGTTTATATGGAAGGAGAAAGTCGTCCAACAGTTGGGCGACTTATAAGTCGCCAAACCGTTTGGCGACTTATAAGTCGTCCAACAGTTGGACGACTTATAAGTCGCCAAACGGTTTGGCGACTTATAAGTCGCCCAACCGTTGGACGACTTTTCCTGACCACGGTTAAACCCAACAGTAGATCCGTAAATACTTTTAACCCAACATTATTTTCGTAATTAATTAATTAATTAGCATTAATTCGAAAAAAAACTCCAAATAATAGTACTAATTATAAATGAGATAAACTGATTGAGTTTGCATTTGCATACACATAATTGTAAAAAAACGTGAGTACTTATTTTTAGTTTCACTTTTCATTTTGTCGTGCTAGACTGCTAGCTATAATGTCTTGAATACCAAGCTATAATGTGGCTTTAACATCACAAAATTACTCCGTATTATTTTTCCCATATAAGAAGCATTTCAAAACTTATAAATAATAATTTTAGTCTTGTTGCAACATTTTGAATAAATTGATACAATTTTTAAAAAAGTACTCCGTTACATTCTTTGGTATTTTTTTAATCTAATGAAATTAAATTCAATATTTTGTAATCCTATACTATTTAACATCTGTTGAGATATATTACGTACCCCGCCTATCATTGCTCTGGAGCTCAAGACATTACTTAACACGGAGCCCAATCAGTGAGGCCCGTTTAGGCCTATCGGGCCCGTATCGACCCATTCAGCCCATCGTGGCCCATTAGGGTGGAATACCTCTCCCCCTTTCTTTTATAAATAGGAGGATTCCCTCCTAATAAACGCAAATTATACCCTACGACCGGCGCACCTTGAGGATGGTGTGCCCGGTCCCAAAACTCCATCATCCGCCTGCGGTCCAGACCCTTCCAAGCTCTAGACACCCCTCCAACCACCCCAACCGTTGTGCCCCACCGCACAACCCAAGTCGTCGAACACAATTTACGCCAAATCGATGCAGAAGAAGGATGAAGGCTGATCTCCATCTTCGTCGCAGGGTCTGGTCACGATTTTCGTCGCAAGGTACTGGCTTCCATCTTCGTCGCAGGGGCTGGTTGTCATCTTTGTCGCAGGAGACTCGATTTGTTTTTACTCGATTGGGTTTGGAGACAAGAAGGTGTAGCTATATACTAGTGTGTATTTTTGGCCGGAAGTTACATGTCCGTAAATGCATTTTACATTTCAAAGGGCTGGAGTTAAATCTCCCAGGTTACATCTGACTTGCTTCCGAGTTACATTTCAGTTACAGGAATTTACATTTCAACGAGTTACATCTGAATGAGTATAATTTACATTTTGATAAACCTTAAGTTACATATGGATTCACACGGTTTACATTTGATATAACCTTGGGAGCAAGATGCTCACCATGCACCGCTCCTACGGTTTAGCAACTGCCTAATAAAGGATCCTTCTCTCCCTCCTCTCTCTCTCTATAGTTAGCTTGAATACTCTATTAATGGGAGCTTGTAATGGTGAGTAGAGCATTAATGGAATGAGCGGGTTTGGATATTAGCCTAAAAAGTCCTATGGTTTTCTCCCTTTCCAGTTTTCCACGTAAAAACAAAGAGTTTATACATATTTATATCCATATTTATTATAGAGAAAATCGCACTTTTAGTCCCTCAAATATTGAAATGTCAGACCCGTGTTCCCGAGTTTGTAAATGTCACCCCTCAATTATCGAAATTGCTGTAAATCTAGTCCTTTGAGGGGTGAAATGTACAATATGGGCGTGGACTACATTTCACCCCTCAAAGGATCACATTTACATCAATTTGGACAATTGAGGGGTGACATTTACAATTTCCGAAATACGGGTCTAACATTTCAATATGGTGACTATTTCAACGACTAAAAATGTGATTTTCCCTTTATTATATCGTGTTTGATTAAACTCAGAACGCCGTCTGTGGGAACCAGTTCAAAAAGATTCATGTGTTCTTGATTCTCTACCAAAATTTGATACGAAAAGGCTACTGACTTCAACGAAAAACCAGAAAAAACAAGAAAAATGATGCTGGAAGCACCGAGATCTAGGAAGAATCGGAAGTAACCATAGCCGACCCAGCCTGGCGGCGACACTGCACCAAGCCGGAGGTGCAGTGAGAGCTCCAGCCTCGATTTTTGTCACCCGAGTCGCAGCTCCTTCCTCCAGTCGTGGCAGTGGACCCATCCACCTCGCCGGTTAGTAGGCCCTTTCTCTGCTCCTGTCGCCGCCCGACCAAGAGCCTAGTAAGTGTTTATGCTAAAATAAACTAGGAAAAAGTATGGAAAAGGTACTTGTGGTTGGACTCGTTTTCAGATAGGGTCATGTGTTTCATTCTTTATTAAAGTGGTTCATGTGTTTGAATTTTGTTATCACAAGAGGGTCACACCGTTAAAAATGTCTGAAAAAGACCGTTAAAAGTAACTTGAATTCAAAAATGCCCGAAAAATTAGAAAAAATATATCGAAAGGTGCGCCTCAATAAGACGGCCGTTAGGCCATCTTGAATAATTGAGCAATAAAAATTATGAATAATATCTAGTGATAATTAGTAAGTCAGTGAGAGCTTGATTACAAGAGTGTATTGAAGATAAGAATGAAAGATTTGATCAAGAATGATCGTATGTATACATGGCTATTTTTACAGCTATTTATTAGTCTAATTTCTACTTCTTCCCCAAGATTAGCACTTGCTCCCTCTTTTTGCTCCACGTCTAACAACCGGTTTCTATCCTCACTCTCTTTGACTTTGTATGCTGCTAACGGCTCCTTAGTCTTATCCCTTTATCTCGAACGGACTATTTTCTTCCACCTATGGGCTATGAGACTTAATATTATTCCTGGCCTATTATCTGTGTTTGGTCAGCCTCTGTGATCGGCCCATCTGTAAGCAAAATCAGTGGCCCAACAGTAAGCTTCCTCCATTAATGGCTGTTCCAGAGTTTAGCCACGACGCAAGCAGCAGCGACATCAGAGGGTCCATCGGCCTGAAACGCAGCGCTATCGCTCGTCTCCGGCAGCCAGCCATTGGTCGCTCTTCCGCCTGGCCAGCCACTGCTCGGATCTCAACCCCTGCCAAAGTGACTTGAAGGATTTTTCAGCTGAGAATCCTTGGTTTCCGCCATTAATGGTGGCTTGGAGCTCAGGAAGGTTACATACTAAGCTCAGCAGATCTTCCACGAAGCCAGACCCTGTGGCTAGCTGTTGTTCCGCAGCAACCGCCCGCGCGTACCGCCATCGGTAGGTTGCCGGGGCATGTAGTCCGGCCTTGAGTCAGTCAACGGGTGTTCATCTGCCTTCCAAAAAGGATACTGCGTATCTACTTCCCTTGGTCGCCAGCGGTCCACGTCCGTGGAGGTAAGGACAGCAGACGGGAGCTCGAATATGCAGGCCTCTCCATGATTTTGGGCGGTGCCATCCACTCATGACTGCAAGAGCTAAGTCCCAACTTTTAAATTATACGATTAATTGCTACTCCGTGATAGCTTTTAAATAGTATTATTGCTAGTATTTTTATCACCATTATTTGATAGGGATTAAAATATCTCGAAATTAAATTGTGTTGAGCGAAGCTCTAGTGATAAATGACTGTGTTGGTGGGCTTGTGAGCCCACCCATTCGGCTTTAATAAGCAATCGGAGCATATCTGAATGGCATGTAGTATATTACTATTACCTATTATATCACTATTATTAGTTATGGATTAAAATATCCCGAAATTAAATAACTCCAGGGATAGTCTATCCCATCATTAATGCAATGTAATGACTATTTTGGTGGGGCCGTTGGCCCATTCCCGATCGGCTTTAATTAGCAATTGGAGGGTCTCCGAGGGGCATTGCCCCAATGACGCGTTTTATTTTAGGGTACACACGATCTCGTGCGACACCAAGTGATCGGTCGACGATCGTACCCTAGTACCATTTACGCCACTAGGCGCTAGGTGATTGTTTGTTGATCACGACCGTGGGGCCTGAGGGCACCGAGGTGCTCAATCTCATTCTTCTGAGGGCAACGTGCCTAGTGTAGGGTCAACTTTTTCAGCTCACAGACCGATGATTATCTGTTCCTTTGTGACGTCCGGCAAACCACTAGGTGGCCTTGCCGTGGACAGCTACTGTAACACCGTCCCCAAATTATATTTTCTTTCGCGTTAATAGTATATTGCCCGTGGGGCCCACATCGGGAGCGGGGGTCGCCCGACATTCCCGAAACCATACATTTTATTCATCTTGGTCTAGATAATAAATATATAATGGTGGATATTTCATTTGGGCCATGGGAAGGTCCAGAGTTGACCGATTGGTCAAAAGAGGCCCAATTACCGGTATTGGTAATTTATCAGATAACAGCCCGAAACGGATTTCGGAGACTCCTAAATTACAGATGAGGAATGTATATTCATTCTAAGAGTCCATAATGTTGGGAAACACATAATATATTTTATTTGACCCGATAAAATAAAATATAATTAAAATAGTCCGAAAAATACAAAATTCGGAACCGATTGCACACATCGGGACACAAAGGGCCTCCCACATGGGTGGGGGCCAACCCACGAAATTAGCCACTCAATTAAGAGGGTTGGCCGGATGGGGTGATGGGAGTGCATGGGAGGGGAGTGTGAAAGGAGGGAAATGGCATCAAAGGTACAATAGGGGACCCATCCCCACATTATTTTGGGAGAAAAGCCAAAGAGGCTATCTCCTCACTCACCCACACCATTATTTTCGGCCAAGCTACCAAAAGAGGGGGGAAAGGAAGCTCTCAAGTCATCCTCCATTGCTGCAACTCGAGCTCAAACAAAGGTGGCCCAAGGAAGAAGATTATAGGAGGAAAAAAGCTAGGAAGAAGTGTGAAATTTAAGGTAATAACCTTATCATAACTTTTCCCTTATATTTTCTTCTATCATATGAGATAAATATCATATGGAGTACCCTTAGGAATTTTCTACATGGTATGAGTGTGGAATAATGGGTTGGAAGGTAGTTCTAAGTCCAAGAATGGACTTAGAAGCCAAAACGATCGGTTCACCGGAAAATAACCTTTTAGAGGTTATTTGTTTTGATATGAGTTTTATGATGATAAAACCTTGTTAGGAACTTGACTAAAGGGTTTCTAGAGTTCACCAGAATTTCGCCGGAGTTCGCCGGAGTTTCGCCGGAGTTCAACCGAGGAGCGTAGAACGCGCTTAAGCTCATTTAAGGTGAGTGGACGGCTTAATATCTTATAACTTTTGAGTTAATTATGAGATTACCTAAATAAATGTTATATGTATTCATAATGATGTTTAAAGGATGTTTAAACATGTGATTAACCAAAATGATTAGACTTGTATGAAATGAATTACTTGAATATACATGGAGTATGATGTGAGAATTTTTTAGAAATTACATGGTATGGATTAAAGGATAAAGGAAGCCTAGAATGAATATTATTGACTTAATATACATGATGATTGAGTTGATATGTATAAGGTTGAAAGTGCGGTCAACGAAAACGTTGACCGATGGATAATGGATTAATTAATACCGGTTGGTATTAGTTAATTTCAAACTTATATAAACACATGGCTTGCATGAGTTGAGATACATAAGCTTTATGGATTGATTTAACTATGAATGATTAAATATGATATAGACTCTATCTAGGTTGATAGGAGCTTGATCATAGGATTATATATTGGTGGAGGACCCTAGAACTTAAAGTTCTTAACAATCGGATTATATATTGGTTGAGGACCCTAGGACTTAAAGTCCTTAACACTCAAATTATATATTGGTGGAGGACCCTAGAACTTAAAGTTCTTAACACTCGGATTATATATTGGTGGAGGACCCTAGAACTTAAAGTTCTTAACACTCGGATTATATATTGGTGGAGGACCCTAGAACTTAACGTTCTTAACACTCGGATTATATATTGGTGGAGGACCCTAGGACGAAAAGTCCTAAACACTCAGATTATAAATTGGTGGAGTACCCAAGGATTATGATCCTCAAAACTCATAGGTTATGGTATATAAATATGGACAATGAAGAGTCCTATACACTCATAGACATATGGGTGGGTTGGATTTTTAGTCAAGAATATTGACTATTAATATTTTCCCAAATAAAACGGTGATCTACGGATCGGATATTTTCCAAGTGTATATGTACTATTAAGTATTTCTTAACTTGGGGGAAAAGACTATTTATATACGTATCACCCTATGTTTGGGTCTCATACTTGAAACGCTAGTTATTCTATATTTAGTCTGCTACTCGCTCGGTACTTGTACTGACCCCTTCGGGGGGGCCCACCATTTTCAGGTTGAAGCTAGGGCTTGCTACCTGCATCTTTCTACAGGTGACATCAAATCAAGGAAGACGTGGTTCGTGCTTCCTCGTTTTCTTTCAAATTACCTAACATTGCTCATGGATATTTTTATTTGTTATAAACTATTTTTGGGCTAGCATGCCCATGTTATTGGCCGAATTTGGCCTATGAATTACCGCTGAATATTTCCGCTATTCGATGGTTTAATTGTGATATTTGTTATGTATGTTTACTACTGAGTATGGATGGATTGTTATTCTCGAACGCCTTGTATGATTTAGTGAGGTTGACATGCGGGTGACGTCACTCGATTATACGGCGGTTGTACACGCGCTCAGATTTCGGTCTGGGGCGTGACAGCTACATCCAAGAACCACACACGACGAGCTGGGCTAAGGGTCATGGTAACCCGTAGGCCGGTAATCGTAAGAGTGGAAAAAAGAAAGGCATACATATGGTTATTTATATGAGTATATATATTGTCGGGCTATGCGGCCCTGTTACCATGCTTATTATACAGCCAAGGCAGCTCGATGTGCTTGAGCAGAGAAATTATAGAATGCTGGACATGAGTCGTGAGGACGTTCAAAGCCGGCTAAACGGAAGGAATCGCGACAACGGGTATGTCATGATATCATGTGACGATCGGCCCCTCGACCCGACATCGTCACATGTTTTGAAGACCGGTCTCATCCCTGCCCCGCGCGGATGAGGGCTGTTGAACGGACATTTGTGGATCGGCCTTTCAATGCTGACATCCTTATATCATGACCAGCCATTCGGCACGGCGTGCTCACTTACTCGACGACCGGCCTTGTCCCCGCTCCCCGTGGATAAGGACCATTGATTGATTCTTTCAGATCGGCCCCAGTGCCGACATCTTTACATGGCCACGACCCCTTGGTACGATGCCATTATTATATTTGAAGACCGGCCTTGTCCCCGCTCCTCGCGGATGAGAACCGTTGGTTGATTCTTTCAGATCGACCCCCAGTGCCGGCATCTTTACATGGTCACCGACCCCCTGGTTGGTACGGTGCCATCATCATATTTGAAGACCGATCTCATCCCCGCGCTGCGCGGAAAAGAGCCGTTGCTCGGATGTTTCGGCCTGACTCGGAACTGTTGTCCTCTACTTATCAGGATCGACTGCCCAGTGACAATCCTGCTCAGTGACAGTGGTTATCTATATCAATATTGGTTCCCAATGCTGAATTTCTGGAGTTAGCGATCGAGCTCACTACTCCTCTCCCAGATGGTGACCATCGCCTTCGCACGACGACCGGTTCTGCACCTCCTCATCATCACATTTTGGATCGGTATCCCAACACCATCAGATTTGGAACTACTTGTATTCATTTAGGGAACCGACAAACGCCCCATTCAAAAAAAAAGTAAGACCAAGAGTACCGTCGATCCGGCGAGAAGGCATTCAACAAAAAAAAGACCAAGAGTACCGCCGATCCGGCGAGAAGGCATTCAACAAAAAAGAAAGCAAGACCAAGAGTACCGCCGATTCGGCGAGAAGGCATTCAACAAAAAAAGAAAGTAAGACCAAGAGTACCGCTGATCCGGCGAGAAGGCATTCAACAAAAAAAAGGAAGTAAGACCAAGAGTACCGCCGATCCGGCGAGAAGGCATTCAACAAAAAAAGAAAGTAAGACCAAGAGTACCGTCGATCCGGTGAGAAGGCATTCAACAAAAAAAGAAAGCAAGACCAAGAGTACCGTCGATCCCTCGAGAAGGCGTTCAACAAAAAAGAAAGTAAGACCAAGAGTACCGCCGATCCCGCGAGAAGGCATTCAACAAAAAAAAGAAAGTATGACCAAGAGTACCGCTGATCCGGCGAGAAGGCATTCAACAAAAAAAGAAAGTAAGACTAAGAGTACCGCCGATCCGGCGAGAAGGCATTCAACAAAAAAGAAAGAAAGTAAGATCAAGAGTACCGCCGATCCGGCGAGAAGGCATTCAACAAAAAAAAAGTAAGACCAAGAGTACGGCCGATCCGGCGAGAAGGCATTCAACAAAAAAAGAAAGTAAGACCAAGAGTACCGCCGATCCGGCGAGAAGGCATCAAAAAAAAAAGTGAGACCAAGAGTACCTCTGATCCGACGAGAAGGCATTCAACAAAAAAAGAAAGTAAGAGCAAGAATAGCGCTGATCCGGCGAGAAGGCATTAAAAAAAAAGTAAGACCAAGAGTACCGCCGATCCGGCGAGAAGGCATTCAACAAAAAAAGAAAGTAAGACCAAGAGTACCGTCGATCCAGTGAGAAGGCATTTAACAAAAAAAAAGTAAGATCAAGAGTACCGTCGATCCGGCGAGAAGGCATTCAACAACAAAAAATAAGACCAAGGGTACCGCCGATCCGGCGAGAAGGCATTCAACAAAAAAGAAAGTAAGACCAAGAGTACCGCCGATCCGGCGAGAAGGCATTCAACAAAAAAATAAAGTAAGACCAAGAGTACCGCCGATCCGGCAAGAAGGCATTCAACAAAAAAAGAAAGTAAGACCAAGAGTACCGCCGATCCGGCAAGAAGGCATTTAACAAAAAAAGAAAGTAAGACCAAGAGTACCGCTGATCCGGCGAGAAGGCATTCAACAAAAAATAAAGTAAGACTAAGAGTACCGTCGATCCCGCGAGAAGGCATTCAACAAAAAAAGAATGTAAGATCAAGAGTACCGCCGATCCGGTGAGAAAGCCTTCAACAAAAAAAGAAAGTAAGACCAAGAGTACCACCGATCCGGCGAGAAGGCATTCAACACAAAAAAGAAAGTAAGACCAAGAGTAACGCCGATCCAGCGAGAAGGCATTCAACAAAAAAAGAAAGTAATACCAAGAGTACCGCCGATCCGGCGAGAAGGCATTCAACAAAAAAAGAAAGTAAGATCAAGAGTACCGCCGATCCGGTGAGAAGGCATTCAACAACAAAAGTAAGACCAAGAGTACCGCTGATCCGGGGAGAAGGCATTCAACAAAAAAATAAGATCAAGAGTACTGCCTATCCAGCAAGAAGGCATTCAACAAAAAAGAAAGTAAGACCAAGAGTATCGTTGATCCAGCGAGAAGGCATTCAACAAAAAAAAATAAGACCATCTTATGCAGCACGATCGGCCCCTTAGCGTCATCATGTCTAGTTCACGGTCGGGTTCTCCCATTCCTTCCTGGATGGGGACCACCGTCTTATGCACATCGTATCTCCGGGCCGTCGCCTTTATATATGCGGGGGCTTCTAAGCTTCTCGGTTGGAAAGCCGAGTTAGAGTCCTTTACTCCCGCGTGATACATTCAGGGGAAGAGTGTCCGGGGAAGAGCGTCCCTTGCCTGATCCAGTCGGGAAGGGGAGCACCTTACCGGCAGATTACGTTCAGAGGGGCAGACACCCACTCATGTAGTAGGATTGCTTGAAGACACAGGTCCAAGGAAGACAAAGGAAGAGCGCGGACAAGAGTATACTTTCTCGAGCAGATTCACATGCTCATTACTCAAGAAACTGGGGGACTTGTGTTGAGATATATAACCCCGACCTACCACTGTTCAGGAGACTAAGAAATTACTTAGCATGGAGCCCAATCGGTGAGGCCCGTTTAGGCCTATCAGGCCTGTACCGGCCCATTCGATCCATCGTGGCCCATTAGGGTGGAGTACCCCTCCCCCTTTCCTCTATAAATAGGAGGATTTCCCTCCTAATAAAGGATCCTTCTCTTCCTCCTCTCTCTCTTTAGTTAGCTTGAATACTCCATTAATGGGAACTTGTAATGGTGAGTAGAGCATTAATAAAATGAGCGGGTTAAGATATTAACCTAGAAAGTCCCGTGGTTTTCTCCCTTTCCGATTTTCCACGTAAAAACAGAGAGTTTATACATATTTATATTTATATTTATTATATCGTGTTTGATTAAACTCAACATCATATAAGCTATTTTAAGTATAAAAAATAGTGTAAACACTACCAATTTTGTGTTACATTTCAACGCATATTTAACACGTTGTAGAAGGAAAACATAAATATACTTAAAGTTCTAAAATACTTCTCTGATGTTAACAATATTAAATCTTTACATAAAAATAATATAAAGGAAGCATTGGACACAATTTTTTTTTTAATTTTCAAATTCAATATATTCGTTAATTTGTTTTGGGTTATTTTAATTGATTTGTTTTTTATATGTTTAAAGACAATAAGGGCTAATTTGCTCCTTTGGATCGGAGGAATATAAGGGGTATATTTGCACGTTTAGAAATTTAGGGACATATGTGCATCTCCGCTTATACTTTAAGAATGTATTTACACTTTCCCCTTTCAAAATAGTGGGGAGGGCCACCAAAAAGATATGTGAAGACTATCATGGAAAGAACACATACACTCTACTTAGTGTCATTAGTAATAAAGAGTTAGAATGGAACAATTAAGTATTTTTCAATTAAAAATAAAACAGATAAAACATCAAATGTAATAAACTTTGGTTTGAGAGAATATGTGTAACCATTAAAGCCCAATTCAGATCATTAGGTTTGTTTGGATAAATTAAGAAACTGGGTTGGGTCTTGCTACTGCCCAAAACCTTAACCCAATACAATTAATACTTACAGTTTTGAAATAATGGGAAAGGTTACCCTAATGAAGGACCTCACAGATATATTTATAATAAAATTTGAGTTTCCAAAATACATAGGATTCCTAACATAGATAAATTATTACACCTCCTCAAACTATGTGAAAGATACAACACACATGTTGTCCTTTAAAAAATGAAATTGCTGACTACATAAAATTTTAGTAAAAATATCATCCAGGTGTGGGCGGGTAGGAATATACTTCACAACCAGATCCCCATGAGTCACATGTTCTCGAACAAAATAGTAATCGATCTGAATATGCTTGCTCCGTGCATGTTGAACAGGATTAGCAGTCAAATAACAGGCAAAAATATTATCACAAAAAGCTGAACAGGTACTCAAACCGGGAAGCCGAGCTCATAGAGAATAGAACGTATGTGCAACGTGTCTTGGACAGTGTAGGCAATAGCTCTATATTCTGCTTCTGTGGAGGATTTAGAGACAATATGATGCTCTTTAGACTTCCAAGTCCCAGTGGTGGAGCACGAAGTATTTGGACACCCAGTCCAATCAACATCTGAATAAGCAATTACACAAGTGGCTCGTGGCCTTGTGTAGAGGGGCGAGCCATAAATCATGATCAAGCATTCCCTTCACATATCTTAAAATCGTCTCAACTGCAAAGAGGTGAGTAGTGTGGGGGGCATGCATAAATTGAGACACAAAATGCACAACATAGGTAATATCAGACCGTGTCAAAATTAAATACTGTAATGCACCAACCATACTATACTCAGTGACATCTGGCAAAAGTTCACCATCAGTGAGAGGGTAATGCGAGTGGTAAGAGGTGTACGAACAAACTTGATAGTGTGTTAAGAGAAAACGAGACAGAAGATCAGAAACATATTTATGTTGGGACAAAAAAGATCTTTGGAAGTGCGGAGAGCATGAACGCCTATAAAATAGTGAAGATCACCAATCATTCATAGCAAAATTTCGGCAATTAAATTAATAAAAGAGGTGGTAACAGAGGAGGAATTTCTGAATAGATCCATCAACCATTCCGAAGAGAGCCTGGGAAACCAAGAATGACTCGAACTGAGTGCGCCAGGTGATATAGTCTTCTACAGCTTTGAGTTTGGTAGTCACAATTTGGGCAACATTAGCAGAAACGTGAGATAAGGATTGAGACAAAGTTGCCATAGAAGTCGACGATGTGCGGCGATGGGAAAGTAACTATCGGGGAAGGAGACCCAACTTGCTGCTGCCACAGAAAGTGAAACGGAAGGCTCTCGAACAGAGAATAGGAGCCGAAAGCTACTGCACACGACAGTGGAGGGTCATGGATGGTAGTCATTCCAGGTAACGTCACCGGCAGTGACACACCCAAAGTAGTGGTGCCGGTATGAGGAGAGAGACTGAAGGTTCTACAACGGCGGAAAACTGAGAGTTAAGAGCAATGGTGTGCACGGTTGAGGAGGAAGACTCCTATGCGGAAGAAGATGTAGCAAAGAAGGTCACTGTTGCGGCGAAGGCTTGAGGGTCCATAGCTGCTGCTGCGTACGCGTTAGAGAGAGGAACGTACGAAAAAAATTAGGGTGAAATTGTTTCAATAATATTGTTGATTGTCGTGAAATTGTTTCAATAGCAAAATGTCGAACTGAGTGCGCCAGGTGATATAGTCTTCCACAGCTTTTAGTTTGGTAGTCACAATTTGGGCAACATTAGCATAAACATGAGATAAGGATTGAGACAAAGTTGCCATAGGAGACTCAAACAGAGAGTTGTACGGGCGTGCAATACCTGGTGATCCGGTGAAGGTGCTACCATAGAAGCCGACGTTGTGCGGCGATGGGAAAGTAACTATCGGGGAAGGAGACCCAATTTGCTGCTGCCACAGAAAGTGAGACGGAAGGCTCTCAAACGGAGAATAGGAGCGGAAAGCTACTAAGCTACTGCACACGACAGTGGAGGGTCGTGGATGGTAGTTATTCCAGGCAACGTCACCGGCAACGACACACCCAAAGTAGTGGCGCCGGTATGCGGAGAGAGACTGAAGGTTTTGCAGGGGCAGAAAACTGAGAGTCAAGAGCAATGGTGTGCACGGTTGAGGAGGAAGCCTCCTATGCGGAAGAAGATGTAGCAGAGAAGGTCGTTGTTGCGGCGAAAGCTTGAGGGTCCATAGCTACTGCTGCGTACGCGAAAAAAGTTAGGATCTTCTTCCGTACGAAAATTGTTGCAATAATATTCTCTAGTGTCGTTGCCGCTAAAGAACTCCTTAGTCGCGAAAGACTCCTATATTGTTGATTGTCAAAAGTAAATCAAAGGGGCACTTAAACATTGGACTTGACAAATCCTAAAATTCATCCAAAAATGTTAATCAATCCTATATATGAAATGGAAATCAGCGACCGATGATGTTAATTAATTTAAAAGCTTAATAATGTATAATAATCACATACTCAGTAGAATTTGCTTTGAAGAATATAGGAATAGCATGCAATCTAATAATTCTAGCAAAAAATGGGCTGAGATGATGTAAAAAGCCATCTCATCACCAGTTGGAGATAAAAATGAAGTGCAAAGAAAAAGAAAGAAAATAAAAGCAGCTCCCGCCACGCCCCAAAGGAATATATTTTTTTGAAAATGAAACACTGCTTGGCATAGTATACTTCCTTGAACTAGAGTTGAGTTAATTAATGTTATGTAATTTTGGTTTTGTACTTCTGAAGCTCCTCTTGTGCTCGTCCAAGCCTGTGGATCAAGAAAGTCGAATTTTTAAGGAAAAATGATAGAGTTAGTTTTGGCACATGTTTATCATATAGCTATGTGCATCACGGTTACCTCTGTTGCAAATCACATATCTCATGTAACAATTCCTTCTCCCTGTCATGAGCTGACTCCAACTACGAACATAGAAAATGTATATGCTAGTATGACAGCAAGAGGAGCTTAACCAAGAATATGGAGTACCAGCAATCATTCTTCTTTAACAAACTACATGATTTAGATTCTAGACATCAAATAATTAATTTCTGTTAAAAATGGATCCCTACTACACTACATTTTATTCATCAGGTATTTCTTTTCTTTTCTTTCTGTAATCACTCTAACAATTACTACGTATATTATATAGTTTATGTTCAGCAGTTATGCCTATCTTGATTTGGATGAGATTCGAACCTAAAACCTCCGCTTTATAAGATAACAGTGATGTCATCTTGTTCGGCTTCATTAGATATTTCTTAATAGACCAACTTCCTAATCTAGCTGATCTGATGACAGTATAATAGTTTTCCTTCCAGCTTAAATGAACTTTAGGATCATATTAACCAACCCAGCATTGATAACCTGACATACTATGTTGGATCTTAATCAATATGACCATGACCATCCTAGATCACAAATACTTGAAAGTTGAAATCATCGTTTACTGATATATCTATCTACCCATTCTGATTTTTCCCTCTTTCTTCTGTATTATTTAATGGTGTTAAATTTGGAGTTTATATACTCTATTTTTCTTTGACTAGGTCTAATACCTCATGAGTCACAACTCTAGCCCTTGTCTATGCCATTCCAACTTGGCAGTGATAAACTTCTCACGACTCACGTTTTGCTGTTTCGAAAGCTTAGAAGTGTGTCAGAAACTCGAAAACTTCAAATTCTCATTTCTAGCCATTTCCTTCATTAAAAACAATTAGGAAACCTGATTGTATAATTAATTAGCGCTTCGGAAACATCTGGTTTTCAAGAGTTTACTTTTTGGTGTGATTTATTCCTATGGGAATTAGAGTTTGTTTATGGAATTTTACAGCAGGTTTTTAATAGACTTCATCACACAGCCTCGTGTTTGTGATATATCACAACGCACTGATACATGGTATGAAATTTATTGCACTTTACATTTTATTAAGAACTAATATGTAATTATTTCTATATTCTGATCATCTAGAACTAATTTGTATACACATGTTTGAAAAAATATTTCTAAATATATCCTTATGTTTTTTTGCATATTTAAACATAATAACACATTTCTCCAACCCTTCGTATCTTAAATTTTTCAAAAATACTGTTGTCCGTTTCACATTTTCGTGCATGCTACTTAGCTGCTATGAACTTATCAATCAACACAACATCATGATCTGCAAAAGAAAATATAATTCACCATCTGAACAGCAATTTGTAACTCTCTTACCTATCTTTATATTCTTAGTGAGGGAGCAAAAACACAACCAAAATGGACACTTTAACACATTATTGGTTTGATGACCGTTACGTATTTAGCAGTCGTAAGAGACTGGGAAAAACTACAAACAATCAAATATCCACTCAATTGCATTTAATGGAAAAGTTTACTCTTGCGGTGCTTATACTAATGAAATACAGAAGCAAGAACAATAATGAAAATGACATACCAATGATTTCTCTGCTGATAACACGTCCAATGAAACGCCTGTGCCAGCCACTGCAAGATTGACACAATTCAAAAATACATGCATATGTACATACATATACATACATACATGCATGCATGCACGCTTGGATATAAATTATAAACCCAAAAATAACTTTCAATTGCTTATACCTGTTGTGCCTCCAGCAGAGGATTGCCTCATTAGGTTAAGAATATTTTCCTGTCAAAAGAAAACAGTTCAGAATCTCCAAGAAATTAAAGGCAGTGTTTAAGTGTCATCAACTTCAGGCAATTTCATACCCTTTCAACAATATTAGCTTGCAACATATTTTGCAATAGCGGGAGAAATGCATGTGAATGATGATTTGGTAATATTGCATCTGTCGACGGTGAGTGAGACATGGGTGGATGTTGAGGGATCACCTGCATGCATTCAAACCACTTATCAAGCACAAAAGTCGAAATATGACCACCCTGATGACCACACACCCACACCACTAAGGTACTCTTATAATTTCTTTTCATACCACAATTTAATTTAGGAAAAAAGGGGATGATGTAATCAATTAGGATGAGAGGGAGAAAACGTGGATGGAAAGATGACTAACCGCCATGCTGTGGCTTTTCTGTAGTACTGGAGCTGGAGCAGCCTAGATGAAGGCGAAAAAAAGTTTAAAAGGCAATTTTGAAAATTTTCAGTTTTAGATGAAAGAGGCTTGGGTTGTTTATTTCACCATCTCCAAGTCAGTGTTGTCAGACATGACTTTGAAACGTCCTTTTTGTTGAACAATGTGGCCTTTTGTCTTCTCATTTAAATCTTCATTCTTTCCTTCAATAATTACTTTATGGTTTAGTGATAAATGTTCATCAAAATATATGAAAAGATTCAATGTACTTGAGATAAATCAAAGACTTTTATAACCAAAAGGTGAAACTATACTACTCCGTATTATAATGTACCAGATGTTATCAAAGGCTTATTACTGGCTTCAGCTGGCATATCATCAACTATTTGAGGAGGAGAAACTCCATTTGAAGCTGACATGTTTTGAGGTGGAATTTTATCCCTGAAAGTATTAGTGAAGGTCTGTCACTACACATATATACAAATCTAGAGAATTTAGATTGTCAATATCAATAGGAGGCCACCAGTTAAAAGGGGGAAACACACCACATATATTCTATATATATAATCAAATATCTCAAAAATAATCAGAAAAATACCTTTGCCTTGAACTTCCAGGTGAGCCATTTGAGAACTTCGCATCAATTTCAAATTCAGCTTTTCCAAGTAAATGTTTTTCAATGTGAGTGCGGGAAGCAGAACAACCTCGTGAAGTTTGGCGGTCATAAATTTCACTGGTAGTGTTAATATCATTATCATCTGATATTTCACATTTATCCCTGCAAGGTATGTGTGATTCCACCAGTTAGAAATTAATAAAAAGCGTGAAAGTCCATGTAGCACACTGCACAACAAAATGCCCGAAAAACGATGTAGGGAATGGCTGATTCCTAGGCAGCAATATCGTTATGTAGTTATAAATGACAGTAAATCTGTTGCTGAAAAATTCACGAGAATAATTGTTAAGAATAGTGAGAAGAGGGGAACATACATGTTACAAGGGGCTGACATAGTGTTAGCGGGTGAAAGAGGAGCAGATTGATTGTTACCGTCCTGGAAAGATATATGTATCATATTAGGCGGGAAGCCCTAAAACAGCATAACATCAGACCAAGAAAGAAGGAATTCACATACAATTTCGGTATCTGAATTTTGACTTAAAAATGAAAACTGATGTAGAAGTTTTGGAGTTCGGTTAGCCGGAGAGAGCTGACTATGAAGTTTTTTTCCAGGAATGCCAGGCCCCACCTGTAAATTTGAGTCCCCACCAGGATCCTTTTCAGCAATAACCTCCTCTTCTGGAATCTGAAAGACAAAAGAGCGGAAAGCAGTACAGAATTGTAAATCATATAAAAAGGAATCAATTGTCAACAAGTAGACAACTGAAGTACACAAATAGGATCTCTTCTTCCCCCTTTGTCATTAATAAATAGGATTTGAAAAGGCATTATGAATTGTTTATACCAAAGAAGCCTGAGCCTTTAGATCATCTAGGTTGAAGTTCCAGCTGCTTATACCCCGCTTATACTCATTCTGCACATATTTAGAATCATATGAGAAGCTACAGAGAAAGAGAAGTGCATCAAAATCATCTATCTGCCAACAGTGTTTATGTGTGATGCAGCAACTTTGACCTAAAAATTAAATCATTTTTGTTATATACAGAGTATCAAATTCAACATATGCTCATATCAACCTGAATAAATCAAGGAAAAGTGGAATGTATTAAGAAAAAATTAAAAAATGTTTTATTAAATCACAGATACTTCACCTTACCATTTACTGTTAAGCAGTTCAAAATTGTTTTAATGAAATTCGTGATATTCCTGACATTGCAACATTTTAGTATGTCGATTCATAATAACATATCATTTTATATGTCTTTGCACGTTACCATCATATATTGTCATAAGTTTTCCCTTTGAGCCATTTTTCATAATAGCCGAGCGCATACACTAAACCACTTTATGGTGAATGGTATGGTACCTCACAAATACATGAGGGTACCATACATAGAATGCATTTGATTGGCCCAAGTCATTAACTCATTATTTGTTTATGTTTAAATCAGTCAATTGTAATATTCTAATTGGTCCACATGTGCGAGGTAGGGTACATTGAGGGTATCATTTAGTTTTCCTAAATAGAACTAAAATACACATGAAAATAAGAACCATAACCATATATTTATAATTGTTACAAATAGAACTCTAGGTGCTGAAGCATTATTTAAATGCTAGGGATCTTCCATTGTTTTACATTTTAGTCTGGATAATGATGGTAACTGGTAAGAAATCAAACCTGAGACATTTCTTCTTTCTGCCCATCTGGTATCTTCTGTTGTGCCATCATGTCTTCTTCTTTCCTCTACAATTAATAAGAAAATATTAGCTTTTTCGATTCGATTTAAATGCCTTTATGAAGAAAGTAAAAATGAATTTAAGCATCACAAGTAACCTTCAAAGCTGCAAGTCGATCACCCAGAGCTGGCAAGCCCTCCAGTAATGTTCTTGCTATATAATCATTTGATCGAGCTTGCTTGAAGAAAGCATGTTTTAGCAACTTTTTAGCCGTGGGCCTTTTTGAAGGATCTTTTACCAAGCAACTAGCAATCATCTGCTTAAATGACTATAAATGAACGATACAAATGAAAATGTCAACCAATCATGTTATTCCAAGAAACCTTAAACAATATGTTTGTTGAAAAAAATACCTTGGAGAACTTCTTGTCTCTTTCATAATCAAGACCAGGAGGTGCATTTTGCAATGTCATCAACAGTACCTGATGAATAATTCATATTAACCTAAAATATTAAAAACGAACCATAGGCATGATGAAGGTTAATTCATGTTGTTGTGATAATGCACCTTCATTGGAGGATACTTTGAAAAAGGTGCATGGCCATGGGCAAGCTCCAAAGCAGTTATACCAAAAGACCAAATATCTGCCCTGTAAATATATCAAAAGGGAAAAGAAAAATATATATGTAGGTATAAAAAAGAATGCAGCGAAAAAAAGACAATTCCAATTTCATTTACTTGAAATTGTAGCCATGCAATTGCTCCATAACCTCGGGTGCCATCCTGAAAATAGATCCATTGGTGCTTATAAGAAAAGGAGAACTACGATTTGAATTAATTACCAAGTACCAACCCAAAGAACAAGTCATGGATGGAACCCTTCACTGATTTACACTGTCAGCCACAAGGCACACGACTTGATCAAGAACATCAAGATCATTTGAAAGATAAAATGGTGAGCATGAAATTCAAAATAGCATACTGGTGTGCCATAGTTTTCAAGTCATGAACTTATTGACTAGCTTGAACAAAGATACTTATTAAATGTACATGTATATAATGGATATGAAGCTTACCAACAAGGAGTACCAACAAATGTGTTTCTCATAAGCGTTCTGTCACCAGAATCAAATAAGCAAGCAGAGACACCAAAATCTCCAAGCTTAATTCCACTCTGTGCATCTATTAGAATGTTTCCAGCCTGAGGGTTTCAAAAAAAAATTATGGAGCATAAGATGTAAACCTTTTTAGCATTATTAAGACTTAAGAGTCATTAGATTCAGGGAATATTCATTGACAAATTAGTTCAGATGGGTAGATGATGAATAACACTGCATAAGTGTGATTGTTATTATAAGAAAAGCGCATATATACATGCAACCGCTAACTCCAGGTCACATAACAATGACAATTGCTAGAAAATTCGGTGACAAAAAGATATGACATTCAGAAAGTTATTTGCAACTTTAGTTTCAAATTTATTGATAAACCAGCTCGAGAAAGAAGCTACTTGAAGTCTCAAAATACGGGTTAATTCAAATTTAAATACTAACTTTCACGTCACGATGAATATGACCATGATCATGAAGATAATCTAAGCCCTTTAACACTTCTCGCAATATAGTGGCAATGACAACTTCTTCAAAACCATCTGGATGAGCGGCCTTCAATATGTGAAGGCAGGAACCCCCAGCCATATATGGCATGACAACCCACAAATTGTGATCACTGACAAAAGAGCAATGAGATTTCAGAACATTGGGATGGTCTACTAAGATCATTGTCTGTGCCTCCCTGAAGACATTACTCTGGAGTCAACATGCAAAAGAGGAATAAGAAAAAAAACATCATTTCATGTAGTGTCAAAAGATTGAGTACAGCAACTAATAAATTGTTACATGATTCAAACTGTATGAACAAGAAAAAGGTGTTTCGAGGCATAAGATTTTCTGTAAACATGGAAATTCAGGGGCATGCAAACTGAACACCAGGCCAGCAAAAACATTTTGAGTAGAGGACAAACAAGAATCTCTATTAGTGATGGAATTATACGAAGTAAGAAAGTACATACAGAGTACTTCTCAACATGTTCCTCACCTGGCCTAATTCGGGATCCTTTGATTTTTAAGAGTGCTCACGGATAATTTTTTTTTAAATACGGAGTATCATAAATGATAGATCTTTCTCCTATTAAGAAGGAATCAAACACAAGGGTTTATCCAAGTAGTAAGTAAGTAGTGTGTGTTTGACTTACTGTGCAAGCACATGCGCTTCGGATGATCAGATACAACTAGATCACCAACGCACATACAGTGCAAGAAAGGTTTAGAATTTTGAGAAAGCGGAGTAACTATACATTATACAAGGAATTGAATTACCAGATCGCAGTTGTCACGTTCAAAATCGAGGATTTTGATAGCTACAATCTCGTTTAAGGGTTCACAAAGAGCCCGACTAACAGATGCGCTGCCTCCATTGCCGACCTCCTCATACAGAGTATAATGCTCCGGTCCTATCGGGTACTTCTTCTTATCCATTATGATTGAGAACAACTTTTTTCAATGCCTCTGTGAAACACCAAACACCAATGCAGCTCGCTGGAGATTCACGACTCCAAACCCCACCCAAACCTCTCCAATCACGAGAAAAGGACTGAAAGGATATGTCAAACTGAGATCTCCGAAATTGCAGGGAAAACAGAGCTCTCTTCGGCGGTTGGTGAAAATCACCGGGAATAAGATCAGATCAATTAAACGAATTTAAAAAAATGTCCCGGGAAGCGAAATTTGGTCACCAGAAAAAAGCTTATAATTTTCGGGAATGAAAAAGGATACAATAGAATATTAAAAACATCTTTTTTTAATGAATAGAGTCGTCTTAAATAAATAGATATAAAAAGAAAGCAACGGAAAAGGAAAAGTTTGTGGCGGCGGTGGTGATACGGACGAGGCCGGTATCTGAAGCTTTCCGGCAAAGGAGAGAGCGTTACGATCTGAGCGGCGCCGGAAGAGGGAAGGCGTTTGTGTGCATGACTCCCGCCACTCCAAAATACATCGGCAATACACACTACAGTCTACAGAGCACGGAGAAAGATTCTCCTGAATCTGTTCAATAAATTTTAAAGGTTACAAAAGATTCTAGTTTTAAAGTTATCACCATATCAGTAATTCAGTATTGCATTATTATACTCCATAGTTTTAAGGCGAAATTGATATGACTAATTTTCTATTTCTTACTTTTCACCAACAATAATTTTTCTATTTCTATGCATTCAACAACAAAAAATCCTAAAAACGTTGATGACACTAATTTCACTATTTACTCATTAAAAAGTCATTGTCATGTACTTTTATTAATATTTAATGTAGTATTTTAGAACTACTTTGAAAACTCTATAATAACTAAAAAATGAATACAAATAAAATATTGATAAGAAATTAAAGATTAAGAAAATTTCGTCAATCGAATTAGCTTCTCAAGTGCACTTCCTGATTTTATGTTGCAAGTTAAATCTGCCGCTACTGCCTGTTGTGAGTGGGATTTTAAACCTGGAAGTTACCATTCATTGTGTTAGTATTTATTTGGAATTACAAGTTTTAAAAATTAAAAAAAACGGACCTGGGATGTGCCGTTCTTCCACCTGGAAGTAGCAATGATGCGATCGCACTTGAAGCTACGTTCAACACAATATTTCCTTGATGCCTTATATATGCTGATAAGGTCTTCCACACATATGTTTCTCCTGTACCACCATGCCCATTTAAGAAGAACACACCGCCACGGTTGGCTTCTACAGAACTCATTATTGTCTCGTAAACACGCTTATGATCCTCCGTCAAGGCGGAAATTAATTAAGCATGTTCTTCCGCCAAAGCATGTTTGTCATATCTCAATTCCTCGTGTATCAAAACATCATCAAGAGAGGGAATGTCAAGATTTGTTACTTGAGGCATTCCATCATAGTAGAGTAGAGACTTTCCACGATGTTGTAGAAGTTTTTCAACTTCCAACAAACAATAATTCTTTATTTGCTTTTCACCTAGCTGCAGTTCTGTAAAAAAAATGGTTAGTGCAATTTTAATATTAATAAATTCAAGAAGTAATTAGAATATTTTTTAAAGTTCTACTCCGTATTATGTTAAATAATTGAATTTGTTTGTATTATAAACAATCAACACATCTGTAAATGTGATGTTGTAGAAACAAATTATCAAACAAACCACTATCTAAAAATATAGATAATTAATTTATACATATATATATATATATATATATATATATATATATATATATATATATATATATAGAACTATTTATGAACACTTTTTAAGAAAAGCCCTTCATATTTAAAAATTATCTATAACACAAGAGTAAATTTTACCCAGAGATATGCAATTTATTACAACAAAAGGTCTCAAATATTTGATATTACTGACCAATGATCTTTAAATATAATATAAATGAAAAGGTAATTATTAATTTCAAAATATCTTGCTTATTGTTGATAGTATAGAATTGTTATTGTTTATTTTTGTAATTTTAACTAGTTTTTATTAGTTCTAGTTGTGGAAATTACACACTTTTGGTGTAATACTTTATTTTCATAAGTATTTGTAATTTGTTTAGATTAGGACTATTCTGAGCTAAACAGGTCAAAGATCACCCAAGGGATCAAGATTGGACCTTAAAAGATCAAGGAAAGTGCAAGGAGGCAAGAAAGACTTCGATTTGGGAAAATTGCTCATGTACCCGGTCGGGTATAGGTAATACCCGATCGGGTATTTGCTTGATTCGATTGTCCAAATCAAATTCGAGAACAAATGATCGTGGGAGCAAGATTTCGTAAAAGATTTGTCACATACCCGATTGGGTATGCCGATATACCCGATCGGGTATGCCCATAAAAGTGACTTTCTGGGAAATTTCCTAAGATACCCGATCGGGTATCCTATATACCCGGTCGGGTATTAGACCCTGCAGCTTCCAAAAGCCTATAAATACACCTTTTTCCATCATAATAAAATCACCAATTCACATATACTTCTAAGCTTAGTTTAGACAAGTTCTTTCTTTATATTTGCATCATGTTTAGTCTCCCAATGAGGAGCTAAACTCTTCCATCTTGATTTTGCTACTTTGAAGCTTAATAAATTGTAAGTTGTGAGTTGTTTTCTTTAATCTTCTTCCTTGAATATTAATTAATTCCTATTCACATTCCATATTAATATTTTGATCATTACTTAAAGGATCAACTAGTTTTGTTTCATATATTAATTATTACTAGAATCAATCGATTAATACGCTTGTTATTAATTCGGTTCTTTCAACGATAGTAAACTTGGATTATTAATGCATGCATCTCATGGTTAATAATCTAAGGGGAATTAATTATATTGATTAAACCAATAAACCGCTTGTGTTGAGGTTATCAATCTCAATCGTTTTCATCTTAAGTTTACTGCTACTATCGAGTTAATATACGGCGCGTGTTCTATATTGATTCGGTAGTAAGTTTTATTAATGAACGCGTCTCGTTATTAATAACTACCTTCTATGAAATGGAGATACTCCTAGATTGAGTATTCGAGAGGAAGATAGTTAAAGATATAATCGGGATCGATGAACATTTCATTAAGTGGATAAAAGCAAAAACCAAGTCCTCATCTCTATTAATTAAACGCATATAAGTCGTTCATCTTAGTGTTAATTAAATTAAATCAAATCAAACTTAAAACTCCCCTTGTTACTAGTTCCATGAAAGAGAAATATTAATTTCTATGTGGATACGAACCTTACTACACTATACTACGCATAAGTATTGTATTGAATATTTATTTTGAGTGCACACCACGACAAAGTGCACATCAAATTTGGCGCCGTTGTCGGGGAAAGGCAATCATTTTTCTTTTTATTTCTTTCAAGAAAAATAAAATAAAATATATGATAAAAAAAATTACTTTCCTATTTTCTGAGCTTACATGAGTAAATGGATATCAACACATCATCGCTAGAAAGTCAAATTTCTAGCTTGACTTTTTTAGTAAAGGGGTTTCTCTTATGCTCAAAAGTTCAAGATACTAAGGCCTGCAACATTTGCATGTCACGCAGACATCTTACGGATTTTTGCTCAAAGCTTCAAGAAGAATACTTTGAACAAAGTAATGATGTTGGTTTCCAAGAGATGTATGATTCATTCTCCAACACATATAACCCATACTCAAAAACTTCTAACGAACAGAACTTGGAGAATCAATTGAAAAAATTGCCAAGCACTGTGAACCAAATTGGTGATGAGGAGGAAGAAGAGGAGCTCATGGAGAAAGCTCAACCGGAGAAGGAGGAGCCTCAAAACTCAACTCCACTACCGACCATTCCTGAGATCATGCCACCATTTCCTGAGGCTCTAAGGGAAACACAAAGGGTGGAGAAGGACAAAGACATGCATTTACAAAATCTTCAGCAATTGTGAGTATCATTTAGATTTCTCTTCGTTCACAAATATTCTAGGAATAATAGTGGAGTTACGCAAACATGTCATACCCCCTCTTACACCACCCGGATCAAAATCCCTTCCATTGATCATGCTAAGTGAAAATCATGGACCCTCACTCTCATAATATGAAGCGATAGAAATCTGGATATTTGATCCTGGAAAGAGTGTCAAAATAAAGGGTCGACAAATTGAGCCTTTCTATAAGAGTAACCCCGGAGAAATTGTGAAAGAGATGGATCATCATGATCCAAATTTTAAAGATTGAACTAGAAAAGATGGTGTCGTGCCACGACGTTAAATAAAGTGTTTCTTGGGAGGCAACCCATGCAAGGTATGTAATTATTTTCTCATCTCTTACCAGTTGAGTGTGAGAGAGAGAAAATCTTTTTCAAAAAAAAGATAAAAAATGCAGGTTTTCAGGACCTGGGGAGCATACCCGGTCGGGTGTACCCACCTACCCAGTCGGGTATGCATTTGGAAACGGATCTGGAGACTACGGTGCAAAAGGCCCGATCGAGTACACCACATACTCGACCAGGTACAAGAAAAAAAGGGCCATACCCGATCGGGTATGTTGGGGTACCCGATTGGGTAATCCGAATTTTTAACCCAAATGAACACCCCAATCTCCATCTTCTTCCCCAATTCAAACCCCCAATCGACAAACTGATGGTCTCGGATAGAGGTAAAAGTCTGGGGGTGAATAGACTTTTAAAGCTTTTTCAACTTTAAAAACTTTTCTTTTCTAGATGAGTTGATCTAAAATCTTTTGGGAGATTTATAGATGCACAGCGGAAGTCTTTAACTTCTAGATATTTAATGTATGATACTTTTCTGACTTGGGTGATATTTGGACTTTATATAGTCAGCAGTTGGCTTGGCGGTTTACTGGAAGACAGGGAACTGCTGAGGCAACTGCCAGTGAAATGCTGAGTGTATGGTGAAAGTGCAAGCAGAATCTTTCTCAGGATGAAAAGGGCTTTCTAATGATGTAATGAGATGAATTGATAATCAATCTTAATGAGAGCAGTGGTCTCAGCTAGGGGTGAGCAAATAACCGGTTTAACCGACCTGACCGAAAACCGATGACCGAACTGACCGAAAAAATCGGTTTTCGGTCGGTTTTCGATTATAACAAAATAAAAAGAATCGGTTATTCGGTTATTCGGTTTTTATTCGGTTAGATTTATCGGTTATCGGTCGGTCACCGATAACCGTCCAAAATATATAAGTATATATACTCCATAGTAGAGTAGTCTTCCTGTCCGGAATTCCGGACAGGAACCGCCGTCCAGCCGACGGATTTTGGGGCTCTTCCCGATGAAGTTTTTTGATGAAATTTTTATGAAATGTTCTTCATTAAGTCTAGTTTATCCACAAAATATTTCAGCTAAATATTCCATCTGGAAGGTCGTCAATGATTTTTGGAATTTAACTGCGCTAAAAAATACATATAAAACGCAGTTAACTTCTAAAAATTATTTGACGAGCTTCCCGATGGAATTGTTTGCTCAAATTTGGTATGGATGAACTAGACTTGATGAATAACATGACATAAAAATTTCATCAAAAAATTCCACCGGGCGATTATGGTCGGTTATGGTCGGTTATTCGGTTACCGACCGAATCCGAATGACATTTTTCGGTCGGTTTTTGTAATGTTGTCG